TGTGACCCAATTTGCTAGGGCCCCATCCCCAGCTGGAAAAGAAACATACCAGGGCCCTGTGGCCAACCTACCTAGACATCACAATCGCCTCTCCCTGCATGGATACCTAGCCTTTGGGGCAGGGTTGAGTAGGGGCTCGTTCTCTTGCTGTGGAGTGGATTTTTTTTTCTTTTTATGTGTATGAGTGTTTTTCCTCCATCTAAGTGTGCTGCATTGCCCTTGGAGGCCAGAAGAGGGCATCGATCCTCTAGAACTGAGTGATAGATGGTTGTGAGCTGTCCTGTGCGTGCTAGGGATTGAACCCTGGCCCTCTGCAAGAGCAGCAAGTGCTTCTAACCACCAGGCCATTTTTCCAGCCTCTGTGATGGACTTAGAAATGGCACATAAGCCAATAGAAAAAGAGCCAAATACAGCCGGTGTCAAAGATGAGGGGCTTAGCTCTCCCTAGCACCTGGGATCTAAGGAGACAGCTGCACTGACTAGTTCCTTCCCGTCCTCCTGCAAAAAGTAATAGAGTTTGAAAAAAAAAAACACCAACTCATGTAGGATTGTGTAGCATACACATGGGAAATCAGCCCATGGGAGCTGGTGAGATGACTTACTGGGTTAAGACACTCGCCACCAACCAAGCCTGGTGACCCGAGTCCAATCCCTGGAAACCCACGTGGGGGCAGGAGAAAAGTGACCCTTACAAGTTGCCCTTCACATATATGTGATGGTATGCGTGCATGGGTGTGCACGCACACATACATTCCTATGTGAATAAGTATAATTTTTAAATTAAAAATCTTAGCGCAGGGATGAGAATCCTGCCTCTGCCTCCCGAGTGCGCCACCACCGCCCTGCCAAGATCCTGTCTCAAAAGCAAAACAAACAAACAAAAAACCATAGCTGGGCATAGTGGTGAATATTCTTCATGGGACGGAGGCAGGTGCATCTCTGAATTTGAAGCTAACCTGGGTTACAGAGTGAGTTCTAGGACACCTAGGGCTACATAGAGGAGCCCTGTCTCAAAGAGAAAAAGAGAAGAAACAATACAAGAGCAGAGATTTGGAGTTGGAGAGTCCTTGGAGATTTTTTTTCCTGTGATGGTCCTCTGCGATTGACCAACCAGAGACGAGGAGATGCAGCAGGCTGGGGGAGGTGGTATATCATGTCGTACTTTCCAGCTTACCCTAGTAGATCAGCTGCAGGTGTCTTCTGGGACTGCTGAGAGCCACATGTATCTGCACCCCCACCTTTCTGCCCCCCCCCCCCCTTTGTCCTGCCATGTGCTCTCCTCCTGTTTTCTGTGAGGCTTGATTGTAGAATCCATCTCTGGGCCTGGGCAGTCTGGTCTTCCAGGGCCTGCTGCCCACCAGGATCTGCTGCCCACCTGTGCTTTCCGTGTTGTTCAAGGGCACATCACAGGACCCAGAATGGAGGCTTCCCGGAAGGTGCCAAGCTGAGAGGGTTTGGAGACATGAGTCTGAGGTCCATGGAGGGATCTCAGAAGGGAGCAGAGGGTTCTCTCTGCTTGCACAGGGAACCAAGGAGATGGGAGCGGCTCATAGATAGGCCGAAACCACAGAGGAGAAAAGCTGGGGCAACTCTCCATTCAGCAAGCCCTTTCACAGGAAGCCCTGAGAAGGTGTATGTGCCTGTTGAGGTCAGGCCTTACCTTGCCCTAAGTTATTCCACATTGTGTAAAACAGTGGCTTTTCACCTCAAGAGACTCTGTTTGCAAGCATCTTTGTACTCTAGATGGAGAATGGAAGTTGACTGTACACCATCTGTCCGACACCAACCACGTGGCACAGGGTAATGATTATTTCTGGGAGTAGAAAGGGTACTGCTCTAGAGTTTATCATGGTGGATTGGAACTCTAGGGGCATGTGGGCATATTAAAATCATATCAGGAAAATCAGGTTCCAGAACTTACTGGGGCCGGGCAGTGGTGGCGTACGCCTTTAATCCCAGCACTTGGGATCTCATGTCTCTGATCCCAATACTTGGGAGGCACATGCCTTTAATCCCAGCACATGGGAGGCAGAGCCAGGTGGATCTCTATGAGTTCGAGGCCAGCCTGGTCTACAGAGTGAGTTCCAGGACAGGCTCCAAAGCTACACAGAGAAACCCTGTCTCAAAAAAAAAAAAAAAAAAAAAAAAAATCCCAGCACTAGAGAAGTGGAAATAGGAAGTGATATGGCCAGGTGGAGAAAGGAATATAAGACAGGCAGAGACAGGAGCTCTGCCCCTTCTCAGCTGAGGAATTGTCGGGGTGAGAGATGGCTGTGGCTTGCTCCTTTGTCTCTCTGATCTTTCAGCATTTACCACATATCTGGCTCTGGGTTTTTATTATTAAGACCAATTAGAATTTGCACTACGGGCTGGAGAGATGGCTCAGCCATTAAAGGCTAGGCTCACAACCAAAACTATAAGAGTTCGGTTCCCAGCACCCATGGCTGTCTCTCCAGCCATTAAATAAAAAAAAAAAATAAAAATTTAAAAAAAAAAAAGAATTTACACTACACCAGGCCAAGGAAAGTATGTAAGTCCTTCATCTGAGCCCCATAAAGAAGTAAACATCTAGCAATTGGATGGTGACAGTCCCCATGGACCTACCTTCTGACTACCCAGCATGTATCAAGGACTGACTAATGGCAGAGAACTCCTGCCTGCCCCAGAGGCTTCAGGCTGTCAACACTGCTGACACAGCCTTCTCAGATTCAATCTGCCCATCCTCCTGTTCTCCCATCTGGTACTGCCTCCATCCTTCAGCCCGGCCCGGTCTGGACCGGTCTTGTCCTTTTGCCTCTGCAGCTGGACTCAGCTCTCCCACTTCACTCTCTAACCTATGACCCACAGTGTCCTGACTCACAGCCACTGCTTCTCCAGCTTCTCCAGCTTCTCCAGCTTCTCCAGTTCCCTTTAGTTCATTATCAGAGGCTCCTGTCCCTGACAGTTTCCCAGCTTTGGCTTCTCAGACCTGCTGGAAACGCAGAAACTCCTTGCACCTCTTAACCCTTTGCAGCCATTCCATAATCTGCACACACACACACACACACACACACACACACACACACACACTTACTGTGTGAGATGTGTATCATTTGAGAGTAATTAAGATTGAAATAGAAGAACCTGTGTGGCCTCAGCCAGGACTGTCAAAGAACGCAGGAGTATCTGCCAGATTGCTGCCCTTGAAGATGCTGTACCTTGTGAATTTGTTGTCAATAAAATGTGATGTGGACAAACACAAACTATTTCTCTGTGTTCCTAACGGCATGCTCACGACAGTGCCTAAGCTCACACTCCAAGACGTAGTAAAGCCCTTCCCCTTCCTCAGTGCTATTGACTGACCCCTGTGAAGCCTCACTTTACCCCACATACACGAGGCTCCCTGACTGGTGACACCTGTGGCTGGCCCTGTAACTAGCATCTCCCTGCCACTGGAATCTCTAAGCAAATAAGGTGCCAGAGGCACATCGAATTTGCATGTAGGGTGTGTGAAGGCTCTTAGGGAAAATGAGTTGACTGTGTTTGCAGGCTCAGAGCCCCACACCCTCTTTTTAAACAAAGGTAGATCCTGCCCAGAGAGAGACCTCCCGGTGGCCAGCTGCACTGAGAACCTCTCTTCCAGCCCTTTTACCCTGTGAGGCAAGGGCAGGTGAGTGGTTGCCGCAGCTCAGGCAGGGCCCTAGGAACACAGCTGGCCCCAATTTTGCTCCTGCTGAGACCAGGCTTGTGCGGATGGGCAGGCTGTGACTTCTGAGGTCTCCTCTGGAAGCCACTGTGCCAGGTAGGCTGGGTGACCTCCTCCTAGATGCGTGGGCCACAGGGACGGCAGAAAGGAGTTGGACTTCAGAAAACTGAGCCAGCCCCTGCAGCTCACTGGGGTTCCCCACTCTGAACTGTGAGAGGCCGTGTGGGGGCTTACTCTTGGGCCCCAGAGGCCCGGCACAGTGTCTGCTCCAAGCCCTAGAGACGAGCAGGGACAAGTGTCGAATGTGACTTTGAACAGGGCACCCTGCCCTAAGGTCAGCATTCTACCTACTCATAACAGGTCGTGTCTGGGGTCTGGTTGGGACTCCTTTGTCCTCATTCCCTGTCCCACTCATCAGGTGACAAAACTCCAGGGCCCTTGTTCCACCCTGTGGTTCTCACTCACTCGCTCCTGGGCTCCCCACATCATAATGCTGAGTCCTGGCAGGAGCGGGAGGTTTGGGCTTATGTCTGCCATTCCAGGCCTCCGTTTATCTGAAATAAGGAATTGGAATGAGAGCATTGCCTTCTCCTTCCTGAAGTCCCTGGGCTCCGTGCACCTGAACAACAGCCCTGCTTCCACCTACCTCCTCCCTGGGCCACAGGTCACAGTCTGGCATGGAGACCCCATAGGACTCCCTGAGGGATTGTGCTCTGTCTTGCTGGGGAGCCTGGGGACCTGGCAGCAAGTTCTCCAGAATTACTGCGAAGGCTGAGACCAGGCTTGTGCTGATGGGCAGGCTGTGACCTCTGAGGTCTCCTCTAGAAACCAGGTAGGCTGGGTGACCTTAAAAGGCATTGTCTGTTTTTCATGGCCCAGACAGCCCTCCTCTATAGGTGAAGGAAGGAAGCTGGCGGGGAGGTGGGGCGGGGGTCTGTGTGGCAACCTCATGCTGTGACGTTGCTTACACAGACTGGAAGCACTCAGGGGGCAGGAGGACTCAGCACTTACTGGATGAACGAATGGGTGGGTGGGTGTGTGGGTGAATGCTACACTAGACTCCCAGAGACTCCTCTCAGTGGCTGGCTCTTTCCTGCAGCTAGCATCCCAGGATGTGGGAACCCTCACATGTCCACATTAGGACAATGCTGTCTGGCCCTGGCAGAGCCCTTCCCCATGTCTGTGAGTCCGTCTCCTCACCTGTAAAATAGGCTGCTGCATGCTCTGCCACAGTGTCAGGGCTGGCTCTCACTGGAGTCTACTAATCACTCCATCCTCTGTGGCTACCCTGGCCTTGATGTGGTGCAGGTGTGAGATGCTGCGGAGGCGAGCCCGGGAAGAAGACAGTGCGGTGCTGATCGACATGGCCTCCCTCGAATCAGAGAATGGGTCCTCTTATGGAAGCACAGCCCATGCCTCAGAGGTACCTTCAACCCTAGGGGTACTGGTGGGCACGGTGAAAGTTCCTTCTTCCCCCTCCCTAGACTCTGGGCCATGAGGCTCCTGTGTACTATGTGATTTGGGAGGTTTCCCATCCCAGTCAGGACCTGTACTCTCGCCCCTGTACTAGAGCCCTTGAAAAGTGGGTACAGCGTCCATGACCCCTCAACCTTGAATGACAAGGAGACAGATGCCTCCTTGCCAAACAATCAGGTCACCACTCACCTCTCTCAAACTTGGAGGGACAGCAGAGGTCCTGTTAGGTGGGAAACTCTGGGGAAAGAGAGAAAGCAGATAGGACCAGGGTCCGGGGTCTGGTCCTTCTCTGCCAGAGCTCCTGCGCAAGGGAGGGAGTCGGGGCTATACGTCATGGTTTTTTATGGATGTGAGGGATGGGGAGTATGGTGAGTCACCCATGAATTCTGATGCACGCAAAGGCCTGCAAATACCAGAAGACAGACAGTGACCACACCCTGGATGTTCCACTGCTCCCGTACTTTCTCTTCTGGAAATGAAAAGGTGCTTGTGACCTAGTCTCTTGTTGTCAAAAAAGCAAGTTGTGAAGGGAGTCCACTCCTGCCAGGAGGAAAAGCTTTGTAGTTAGGGTCATGTCCTGGCTGGATGGGCAGTGGGGTTAGTGGAAGGGGGAGGGGGAGGTGGTTAAGGTTCAGAGTGTGCTACCCGAAGGCTAGAGTGGGAACAAGAGAAGTTAGGCTTGGGGTAAGGGTTAGTCCCCGAAGACAGGTAGACCTTCTGCAAAGGTGAGTAGCCCTAGAGGGAGAGCCTCTTGGTCTACACAGCTTCCTTGGCCTCAGCTGAGCTTCTTTGCAACTAAGGCATAGACATTGGTCTCCTGAACAAAACCAAGAAGGCGGCCCTGAGCGCCCATGGAAGGACAGAGTCCCTCTAGGTGCCGTTTTCTGGCTTTAGGATTCTCTCTGTTGGAAAGACCACTCGCATCCCAAGTAGGCTGGGAGCACTGTGGGTCCCAGTCTTGGATGCCGCACAGGAGGCCCTGGTCCTTCCCTGGGGCTGCCCCAGTAATCTGGGGGTAAATGTAAGTTCCCCTTTCTGTTATCCCTCTGTACCACAAAATGAGGCCCCCAGAGAGGAGAACACAGAGCCTTGCTCTCCAGAGGGAAAAAGAACGTACGGAAAACGAGAAGGAGTCTACCTTCTGGTTGCTCTGACTTGTCCTCAAGGCCACATTGGGGGCAGTGTGGCTTCCCTTCCAGCTGTGGAGACCGGGAAGGGCATTCAGCACAGGCCTGACCAGGGTTTTTGCCGCCTTGCTCCTTGCCACAGGCCTGGTGGAGGCTGGTGGGGAAGGTGAGGACAGTGAAGGCTGGACTAGCCTACTCTTCCAGTCCTGCCTCTCAGCAGCCCTTCGCCCTGGGGCTCCCTCCCAGCTTTTCTTTGTGAGCAGGGTGGTCTCGGGCAGGGCCAGAGCAGGGTCCGTCAGGAGACTGGGGGGAGGGGGGAGGCTGAGGAGGAAATGAGAAGAGGTAGGAAGGATCAGGGGAGGATGAAGAGGGTGCAGGGTGGAGACAGGAGGGACAGAGGAACATAGGAGGAGGTAGACCCGTGGTTCTCAGCCTATGGGTCTCTACCCCTTTGGCTCTCTCATCACAGCGGCTGCATATCGGAATCCTGCATATCAGATGTTTACATTACAATTCCTAACAGTAGCATAATTACAGATATGAAGTAGCAATGAAATAATTCTATGGTTGGGGGTCACCACAACCTGAGGAACTGTATTAAAGGGTCACAGCATGAGGAAGGTTGAGAACCACTGAGGTAAAGGGGACAAGGAGCAGCCAGGGAGGGGGCAGGGTGGGAATGAGTCATCCTGATGGTTGGGTGCTGAAGGTGTTCTTCCTTCCTTCAGGCAGGTAAACAGCAGGTGGCCCCCAGCAGAGTTGGGAGCCCTGCCAAACCCCCGATTGGTAAGCCATCTGTACTTGGTCCTGGGGTGGGGTCACAAACGGGGTGCCTCGGGGGACAACAGGAAGCCAGCAGCTTGGGTCACTCAATAACCAGGCCTCCCATGATGTCCCCTGTATCAACAGGGGACAACTGTAGTGCTGAGGGTGAGGTGAGAGCTATCTGCTGAGTGAGCAGTAGCTAGGGCAATAACAGGAAAGGAAGGTCCCCCTGACAGGAGGGCTCAGAGAGGAAAACCCTTTCCACCTGTTCCAGCCTTAGGACAGACTGTCCCCTCCTCCTCCTAGTTGTCAGCCACAAATTCTGGTCATCTCAGCCTCTTCTCTTGCACCCACATCTTCCTACCTTTAAAGTTTCTCAGGTCCACTTCTCCTACCATCCCCTAGCCCATGGCTCCCATCTGCCCAGAGTCACCTTCAGTTTTGTGGTGGGACTTGCAGGGGTTCTATCTGGGGTCAAGGGCCCACACTCCCCATCAGCTCTGAAGGGACAGTAGACAGCTCTCACGCTCCTAAGCATGACTCTTAGAGAAAAGCAAAGCGGAAAGTAGCATGTTCAGGCAAAGGCCTATGGGAATGCAAACGCACACCGCCGGAGGGGGTGTAACATGGACTCCACGGAAGATGAGCACACAATCACGTGGGACCCAGCGATTCTCAATGCACGTGGTCAAGGGAGGTAAATGTTGATATTGCTGGGTTGTTTTTTTTTAAAGCAGTTGTTGATAAATAATTTACACACCACAAAGTTCACCCATTCTTTCCTTTTTCTGTTGTGAATGGGGAATAAGATGAACGTTTACATGCAAGCTTTTGTGTGGACATATTTTTAATTTTTCGTGAGTTGATGGTGTTGGGTGACATTGCCAGGTTATAGGGTAACTCAGTGTTTAACCTTCTGGGTAAATGTGTAAATGCCACACTCTCAGGACACCACAGCCCCTGCTGTTGCCTCTATTTAGCACAGCGGGTGTGAAATGTTATTGATGTAGAAGAAACTCACTCGGAGGGATAGATTTTGCTTAGGAGACTTTAAAGCCATGCAAGTGGAATTTAGCTAGAATGCTGCCTCCAAACTACCCCAAAAGATAGTAGTCTGCAAACCAGGACTATTAGAGATAAGCAAAATTTAGTATGTAAATGTTTACTCACTAGGATTGAGCAGCCATTAAGCCCCGATTCCCATACCAAAGACATACCTCTCCAGGGCAGCTCTGGGGAGGCAGTGCAAGGTCACAACTATGACTAAGTTCTGGTCTGCCATTAAGTCCCCTGTGTTCTTATTAGGAAAAGCAGAATTCTGTCAGGTGAACAAGATGACCATGGGTAACAATTATTAACTGTGGCAATATCTTTGCAATGTAAATCTCCCCTCTGCCTAAGCGGCAGCACTTGCAGTCCCCTGTCTCAATGTTTAAATTGTCTGAAGTGTAACCTGGGGCCAGGACCCGGAAGAGATTTAAGGATGACAGTGTATGTAAAATGCATAAGCCTGAGGTGGTGTATGCAAGCTAATGAAACCTCCTGTTGGGGGTCGACAACTCTTAATTTGGTGTCAGCCCCAGTCAGCCAGGGGATTCAGTAAAGGGCTATCCTTTATCTCTAAGTGTGCTGATGGTTGCTCACTGAGAAGGCGAACTATTTCTATAACATTATCTCACTATTGGATTGGGTGTGTATGTTCTTAATGACTAATGATATGGATTGTCTGTTCTTGTACCAACTGGATATTTCATATCTTCTTTTTTTTTTTAATTCGGAGTTGAGGACTGAACCCAGGGCCTTGCGCTTGCTAGGCAAGCACTCTACCACCGAGCTAAATCCCCAACCCCTTCATATCTTCTTTAAACAATGTCTCTTCAAAATCTTTGCCCATTTTTAAGTTGGTTTTGTGTGTGTGTGTGTGTGTGTGTGTGTGTGTGTGTGTGTGTGTGTGTGTATCTGTCTGTCTGTCTGTGTGTGTCTGCGTGGCTGTTAGATTGTAAAAGTCCTCTAAATTCTGGATACAAGTCCCTTATCAGAAACACGTTTTGCAGACATTTTTTCCTGTTCTCTGTGTTGTCTTAACCTTTTCCATGGTGTCCTCTGATGAAATGTGTCTTATCATTTGGTCCAAGAAATCACACCTGACAGGTTCTTTTAGGAGTTTGGGACCTAGACTGTGGGAACCAAGCTAAGGAAGGGATCCCAGGAGGACACGCCCAGCCTCTGTTCCTGATCTGCATGGCACACTCGCCTGCCCTCCAGCCTGAACTACAATTAAGGATAGGGTTGGGCAAGAGCCACAGAGAAGCCCATCACAGCCCCTGTGCCCTAGCTGAGACCCCAGCAACCCTGACCTGGGCCTGCACTCCATTAGCCCACACACTGCTTTTGTCCCCATTGACCCCTGTAGATTTTGTTCTTGTTTGGGAAGAAGACCTGAGGAACCAAGAGAACCCTACCCAGGACAAGACAGGCACACATGAGTTCTGGAGGGAGACCTTCCTGGAAAACCTTCGTCTGGCTGGCCTGCATGTAGATCAGGTACATGGTGGTAGGAGGGGGCTCTATAAATTCTGCATGACTTTGCACGCCCGAGGGCTTACTATCAACAGACATAAAGCAAACAAGGCCGCAGGGTCCTGCTGGATACCCACCCTTCCTGTGGCTCGGAGCCACAGACCCCAGGCCAACAAGAACATGGAGCCATCCTAACGCACTAGGCTCGCTCACAGAGGCTGAAGCCTTCAGGGCGATCGATGAAACTGCCTCCATCTTCTCCACCCACTGCCTACCAGCTTGTGTCATTTGTCAGCATGTGTCATTTGCAATTACTGTTGGTGTTTATAGGATTAGCAGATTCGAAGGTCCCTTTGCATGTTTTGGTTTTGTTTTTTTGTTTTGTTTTGTTTTTTGTTTGTTTGTTTTGTTTTGTTTTTCTTGGTTTTTCGAGACAGGGTTTCTCTGTGTAGTTTTGGTGCCTGTCCTGGAACTCGCTCTGTAGACCAGGCTGGCCTCAAACTCACAGAGATCCACCTGCCTCTGCCTCCCAAGTGCTGGGATTAAAGGCGTGCGCCACCACTGCCCAGCCCCCTTTGCATGTTTTATGTGATGGTACAACTTACACAATGATTCCAGGGAGCAAGAGAAAATCATGTAAGCCCTGGGCAGGCAGGCAATGTGGGATCTCAGGGTGGGGGTGTGCAGAGCCCTGTCTATCCCCATGCCTTTCACTGGCATGTCTTTATATACATATTCTTCATCCTCTGCCATCCCAGCCACCTTCCTCTGTCCCCAGAAGAGGACATCATAGTCCTATGTTGTCATCACAGTCCCCGCCCTAAGAATCAGTTGTGGACATTCTGTTAATCGTGTCATAACTCAGCACTGCAGCTTGGCTTTGTCTGTTTGGCTTCCATCAATAGAGTCTGCTCCTTCCATTTTATGTGGCCTGTGAGGCTCTCCTAAGTGCAGGTGCTGGCCAGCCTTGCTGTGGGCTGGTGGGTGTTTGAGTTCTTCCCCCTTGAGGACCCTAGTGACAGCTACCTGTTGTCAGTCATCTTAGGGTGCCTGTGGATTGCATTTCTCCTAGGAGCAGAGTTGATGACCCCCTAAGGCCTATGATTGTGACCACACCCTTCTCTCTATTGGTGGCCCAATTTACATTGCCATCTGGGGGTGAGCCAGCACCCCCTTGCTCTGAATATTCGCAACGCGTGGCAATGTCAGACTTTTCCATCTTTACAAGTCAGCTGATACACAGCTATACCTTCCCCTAGTTTTCCTTCTCCTTTTCTCTCATTTCTAAAGAGGTTGTGCCTTTTTACACATTTATGAGCCATTTGTGTTTCCATGAAGCTTCCCTTTGACTTATGATGGGGGCACCTTCTCCCAACCATAACCCAGTTGAACCCAGTACCTAGACCTGGGTAGAATTAAAAATACATTAAATGCACCTATCGTACCAAACACCCCAGCTTGGCCATGCAGTACACTGTACAGGGCAGATGTTCTGCTGGGGAGCACAGGGTAGACCAGGAGCTGAGCTCACAGCAGCTTCCCAGCATCATCAGAGAAGATGAGACCATATACTTCTAGCCAGGAAAAGACCAACATTCAAAGTCTGGTGTGCACATATGCATATTATTGCTAGCAACCCATCCTAAAATAAGAAGAAATCCAGAGTAGGACCATCTAAGTCCGGGAACAACTGTGAGGCCAACTTCCTTTGTGTGTCATTTTTTTCTTTTCTGTTGGGTCATTTGCCTATTTCCACTCAGCCGTGTAGGAACTCATTTGCTCTAGACATGTAGATTGCCGGTCACATGTGTCACTATTGACATGAGCTTTGTTTGTTTTTACTGACGGAAAGAGCTACTTTTGCCTTTGTCTTAGTCACTGTTGCTGTGAAAAGACTCTATGACCAAGGCAACTCCAAAAGAAAGCATTTAATTGGGGGCTTGCTTCCAGTTTCAGAGAGTTAGTTCATTATCGTCATGCCAGGAAGCATGGTGACAGCCAAGTGTGGTGCTGGAGAAGTAGCTAAGAGCTAGATCCTGATGTAATCGGAGAGAGAGGCAGACAGAGACAGATCAGGCCTGGCATGGGCTTTTGACACCTCAAATCCACCCCCTTCCCCATCCCCATGACACACTTCCTCCAACAAGGCCACACCTCCTAATCCTTCTAATCCTTTCAAAAAGTCCCTGGTGACTGAGTATTCAAGTGTGTGAGCCATTCTTTTTTTTTTGTTTTTTTTTTTTGTTTTTCGAGACAGGGTTTCTCTGTGTAGCTTTGCGCCTTTCCTGGAACTCACTTGGTAGTCCAGGCTGGCCTCGAACTCACAGAGATCCGCCTGGCTCTGCCTCCCGAGTGCTGGGATTAAAGGCGTGCGCCACCACCGCCCGGCGTGTGAGCCATTCTTATTCAAACCACCACAGCCTCTGACCCTGTGGGTTCATAAATTACACACACACACACACACACACACACACACACACACACACACACACACACCATCCATTCATCACCCATTATCCATCTACCCAACCACAACCTCCCCCAATACATTATCCAAAGTCCCCTCAGGCTTGAGATTACAATGCAGTTCTCAGCTCTCAGCATGTCACAACCATCCACGGGTGCCCCAAATGACCAGGTCCACGTCTGCTCCTGTGGGCAAGGTGTAGTTTTTATGTGGACATTGGGGGAATCCCAGATGGTTGTGATGTACAGAGGTTGAGAACCTCTGGGAAGGTCTTCGAAATATGTCTGTACTCCACAGAGGCTCTTGTTCGTGGGACCCAAAGCCTCACCCGTCCCAGGGCTCTGAGGGTGTCTTGTCATCATGTCAGTCAGTGTTACAGGATCTGAGGGAAGATGGAAAACTAACATGTGTCTCTAAACTAGCAGAGCAATGACAGCCCAGAGAGCGGCTCAGACTAGCTCATCCTGATGAGTAAAGGAGTTTACTGGGAGTTTCTAGGCCGCGGTGATAGACTACAGACATCCCCACATCCCCACCCACCTATCAAGCTCCTACTCCGTGCGGCTCTAAGTCTGTAGCGGAACTGGTATAAACCTGGACTGACAGTGCTACTTAGACCTAAATCAGCGGGGACTACAAAGCTTGCACAGCATAAGACACAGAGGAAACCCGACTTGGAAACGCTTTATTCTTTTCCTTTTTTTAATTTTCATTTTATGTGCATTGTGGTTTTGCCTTCATGCATGTGAGGATGTAGGATTCCCCTGGAACTGGAGTCACAGACAGTTGTGAGCTGCCATGTTGGTGCTGGGAATCGAACCTGGGTCCTCTGGAAGAGCAGTCAGTGCTCTTAATTGCTGAGCCATCGCTCCAGCCCCAAAGCTTTATCCTTATGTGCACTTTGTCCTTGTCTCTGTCAGGGGTTCTGCTGGTCTCAGTGAATAGTGTCTGACCACGAGGAAGGCTTGCTTTTGCTATAGCCTGACACATAGCTGAGTGGAGGCTCGCTGTGCAGTAGAGTTACTCTCTCTAGATGTGGAGATCTAGTTTCATTACACTTTTAAACAGACAGTAGTGTCCCCCATCTGTGCGCACAGGGGTGTACATATTTACTTAGGTATGTGGAGAACAGTGTGACTTTCCAGCGATTTGTCAACGGGTGAAGCAGCCGCTGAGCATCACCAAGCAAAGCTGCATTTGCTGCCTCTTTAACCAGAAGATGGCCTAGGTCAGTACAGCCTCGGAGAAGCCCTGCATGGCTTCCCAGACTTGGAGGAAGGGTCATTTTGGCTGTCATAGCCACAGCAGCAGAGAGTGCAGGTGGCATGGGCCCCAGAGGAGGCGCTGTCACCACAAGCTTTCTGAGACAGGCCTTGGAAGTGAGCATCCCCACTGAGAAAGTGCCGGGCCACTGGCTGTCCATCAGCACCAGGGCTGTGCCAGGGTTAGCCCTCTCCTCAATATGAATAGACACAGAGCACACAGCAACACCCTCAGGTCTTCACAGAAGCCTCTGGTACCTGCAGCATGACGTCCAGGACAAGGCCACTGCAGTTCACTACGTCCTCCTCAGAGCGCCCTGGGCTGTACTCTGCTACTATGCAGAAGATCTGCGCCTGAAGCTACCTCTGCAGGTATGGGGGACGTAAGGGGAGAAGGAGAGGGTGGGGGCCCCACCCAGGTCTACGTTTGCTTGATCAGCTCAGCTGCCAAAACCATCACTCCTTGGAGGTGCTTCCACTTGGGGACCTCTAGTTTCCTGTCCACTGTCACATGGAGCCTCAAAACACCCACTGGGTGAATGGGGGAGAATATCCTGCCTGGCAGGCTCAGGAATACAAAAGTCTGGCAGTATGGAGGGTAGCCGAGGCTGTGGGATGGCTGAGTTCCCTGCAGGCCCATCTGCTGAGGCAGCTGGAACCTCCCTCGTGTGCTCAGGGTGAAGGACGGCAGCCTCCCTGTGCCCCCAGGATGGTGTGCCTGGATTGCTCACAGAGGGTTTCACTAGCATGTCTGGAGAGAGACATACTGTTGACTCTCTTTGTTCCCTAGAGACAGGAGCAGCTCTGGTCCTCCATTTAACAAGCCAAGCAACTCTCAGAGCCCGAGGCCCCGAGAGGGGAAGGGTCCGTGGCAGGGCCAAGAATAAGAGATGCTATTTCTCGATGCTGAGGTCTTTTGACTGGAGTCCCATTTTCAGATTTGGCCAGTCTCCTCCCCAGCTGCGAAGATTTCCCTCTGAACCATTTTGTTTCTAGGAATTACCAAACCAGGCTTCCAACTGGTCGGCCACCCTTCTGGAGTGGCTGGGCATCCCCAATATCCTGCTGGAGCACGTGCCAGACACGCCTCCCGAGTACTACTCCTGCCAGTTCAAAGCAAGCAAGCTGCAATGGTATGGCGTTGTCGCAGCCCCGTTGAGCCCGGCAGGACAGCCTCCTGGGGGACCAGCCCCCATAAGAACTAGGATGGATGTATGAATGGATAGGATGGATGTGTGAATGGATAGGATGGATGTGTGAATGAACAGGATGGATGTGTGAATGAACAGGATGGATGTGTGAATGAGACTGTGAATGAATCAACTAAACATCATGCTTTTTCTCAAATGCTCTCCTCACCTGGGATTTTCAGAGAACACCATCTGAATCCCAGGTGAACAAGCCTACTGAACAGCTGTGTCTTGGTAAGTCACCTGCATTAGTCAGGATAGGGTGGCCGTGCTGTGGGACAAACATGCCCCGAATCCTAGGAATGGATCCACAAGGCCCAAGTCACAATCCATTTCTGTTGCTATAACAAAATACCCAAAGATGGGTACTCTGTCGGAGAAAAGTTGAGGGCAGGGGAAATGGCTTAACAAGTCAAAATGCTTGTCATGCAAGCCTGACAATGTGAGTTCAATCCCTGGAACCCACCCAAAGAGCCAGACGTGATGGTGCACAGCTGTAATCCCAGAACTCCTATTCTGAGGTGGAGGCTAAGACAGAATTGCTCTGAAGCTCACAGGCCAGCTAGCCTGGAGTACACAGAGCAGCAGAAACTAGGGACACCCTGCCTCAACAAGGTCACTTGGTACTGGGACCGCTACACATACACTGTGGGATGTGCACACATGTCTCTCTCTCTCTCTCTCTCTCTCTCTCACACACACACACACACACACACACACACACACACACACACACACACACACACAGAAGAAACAGGAAACGAGGGTTGATATGCAGTGATTATAGCTGGCCCATTCTTCCCTCTCACTCACTGTACAAACTGCTCTTTAAAAGAGGAGGTTTATTCAGCTTGTGTGTTGGGCAGCTAAAAAAGTTCAGTCTTGCTGGGCAGCCTCTGGCTAGACATAGCAGCTACAACACAGGACAGCAGAGACAGAAAGGGAGCTAGCTATGCCCAGAAAGGCTTCCTTCAGTAACTGGATCTCTCCTGAGACCAGAATTAGTCCCTTCTGAGACAGTGGAATCCATGTGACCTCATGCCTTTGCACTGGCCCCCACTTTTTATTTTTATTTTTTTAAGTCAGAGTCTCACTATGTAACCCTGGCTGTCCTGGAACTGGTTATATAGACCAGGTTGGCCTCGAACTCAGAGATCCACCTGCTTCTGACTCCCAAGTGCTGGGATTAAACGCGTGTGCCATCACCATGCCTGGCTTGGCCCCACTCTTATTTTTTTTTTTTTTATTTTTTTGGTTTTTCGAGACAGGGCTTCTCTGTGTAGCTTTGCGCCTTTCCTGGAACTCACTTGGTAGCCCAGGCTGGCCTCGAACTCACAGAGATCCGCCTGGCTCTGCCTCCCGAGTGCTGGGATTAAAGGCGTGTGCCACCACCGCCCGGCTTTGGTCCCACCACCTTGACACATCACAGCACATGAACTTTAATGAGACACATTCAGACCACAGCGGTCCATTCTTTGCGCTGTTCCAGGGTCCTGGGTCAGTGGACTCCCTCCTTACACCTTCTCTGACCAGTGAGGGAGACAACACGTGTGTGGACAGCCCTCCCTCACGAACTCAGGAGCCTCCTCACGTTTGTTTCTGGACAGAGCTATTGTGTGACCACACGAAGCCTGCAGACCTAACCTCAGTCATTGTTCCCTCCACCAGTGAAGCAGCCAGGACTTTTGTGACCCCCGACTCCCTCCTCCTGTGCCTTTAGTCCTTGTTTACAAGCTTCAGGGCAGACATGCTGAGGGTTTCTTAGTGGGCCTTGTCCTCTGTATCAACTGTCTGCTTTCCCTGGCTTTCTGTGTGTGGTGTGTAGCATCTGTTGTGGCCTCCTGTCTGAGGGAAAGAAAAGGCAAAAATGAGAACTAGTTTTATCTGGCAGAGTGGCCGCCTCCTCGGCCTCTGGGTTGTGAGCCTCTGTGCAGGCTCTGTGTGCACATACTCTTCTCCGCCATGTCTGTTTCTGTGTCTTTACTTCTGTATTGTGGCAAAAATTCCCATATTCTCAAAGCTCTAAACTTCTCACCTCTGCAGGTTCCTTGGAAGTGACAACCAGGACACCTTTTTCACCAGTACCAAGAGGCACCAGATTGTGAGTGGAGTGTGTCTGCTACAGACCCTCATCTGACTAGGCTCAGAAAGGCCTGACAGGGGTTGGGGATTTAGCTCAGTGGTAGAGCGCTTGCCTAGCAAGCGCAAGGCCCTGGGTTCGATCCTCAGCTCCAAAAAAAAAAAAAAAAAAAAAAAAAGAAAGGCCTGACAGAGCCCAACTACCAACCCTGAGGTCTTCCTGGCCACCATAAAGCTCCCCATAGCCAGAGGGCGGAAGCCTTATAGACTGTCTTTGATCTTGCCGCTTGGGGGGGGGTGTGTGTGGCATGGATGCAGGACAGTGGGGGTGGGGCACATCCAGATGGCAGGGAGTCAAGTGAAAGCCAGCTCTCTATCCAGTACCCCTCCACAATCTGAGGCCCAGAACAATACATGGTATGGACCTCTGGGACAGACAGCCAAGGCACCAGGCCCAGGTGAGGTGATCCTCTTGGCTGGCCAGAACAGACAAGGAATAGGTCTCGGTATACCCTAAGCTAATCTGTCAAAACCAGGCTACAGGGGCAGATCTGAGGTACTGGGACAATGTTTCTCAACCTCTGGGTCTCAACCCCTTTGGGGATCAAATGACCCTTTCACAGGGGTTGCCTAAGACCTTCAGAAAACACAGCTGTTTACATTACAATTCATAACAGTAATGCAATTACAGTTATGAAGAAGCAATGTAAATAATTTTATGGTTGGGGGTCACCACAACATGAGGAACTGTATTAAAAGGTTGCAGAATTAGGAAGGTTGAGAACCACTACACGAGGAGGTATGCTCCAACAGCATGTGGCCAGGAGCATCTAGACAGGCCTGAACCACACACTTATAATCACCAAAGGCCACTGCGACAGTGGCCACCAAGGCAGAGGTTTCCCACCCCAGACAGGTATCCTAACAGAGCTGATCCTACTGGAACAGGGGTCCATGCATGACTAGGTCCAGGTTCCAGCCCAGGCTGGACTCTAAAGAGCTATGTGACTAAAGATGGGAGAATGATTATTATCCCTACCAGTGCAGTCATGAATGTGTGGTTATGACACAGGATCTGGGTTTCACGGCCTTGGGGACACTCCACCAATATCATTATCTATCACTGGGGGCCGTAAGAGGTCATCCAAGGTTTCAGCACCAAGATGGGTCTCCCTACTGTGCCCTCACATGACCAGTGATAGGTGCTATCCTCCACCCATCCCACAGCTGTTTGAGATTCTGGCCAAGACTCAATATGGCCACGAGAAGAAAGGCTTCTTTGGGATCGATCAGCTGTTGTCAGAGGGTGTCTTCAGTGCGGCCTTCCCTCTGCATGACGTGAGTCTCAGGGCTTGGGGTTGAGCTAGGGTGGACGGTGAATTCCCCCAGTGCTATTGCCTGCCTTGTCCACAGGAAGCAGAGGAGTCTTGCCCTCTGTGACAGCCACCCTGGGGTTAGGAATACCAAATGCATAGCCTTGTAATGTGAAGTAGTCCATGTTGGAGGCTGAAGGTTCAGCTTGGTCTCTTGCCCTTGCTGGGGGTCCCTGGCAATATACCAGACCCCCACTCCAGATACCAAGACTGGGTTTCTCAGGCAGTATCTCTCACTAGAAAAGATAGGAAGGTCTCCAGCACCCTTTTCCCTACCTAGAAGCTGGGCAGTCTAGGGCAGAGGCAGAGAGACATTCACTATAATAGCTGCCTGGTGCTTCCCTGACACGCTTTCTATCATCCATGTGTAGGTAAGGGTGTTGTTCTTGCCCCAGTTTTTCCGCAGCCTTCTACCATACAGGGGACCCCTGAAGAGCAATTCCAAAAGGTCTTGAGTCATGCATGCTCATGAAGCCATGGGAACAGTCCTGCTTGATATCACAAAGTTAAATGAAGTGGACATAGAAATGTCAGGCGCACCCCCCACCCCCAGTCTGTCTGTCTGTCTGTCTGTCTCTCTTTCTCTCTCTCTCTCTTACACACACACACACACACACACACACACACACACACGAGTCTCACAGTGGCATTACTCTTCATGTCAACTCAGCTGGGGTCCACGAGGAGTGACTCATGAACGGCTTGGGTACCACACAGCATATGCGCCAGGCCTGGACAACCCCACAGTGCTGTTGGTCAGCCTGCACCCCAGTTACTGTCCTGGCCAGGTCTTTCAGATTCATCCCCTGCCCTGGACACTCAGCAGTCCCAGGAGTCACGGGAATTCAAACTACATTTCCCTTCAGACACTTCTTGGCCCATCCCCCAATGTGTTTTTTCCTTACAACATTGTCCCTTGGGATCTGTGCCATTTGCCTGCCCTGGAGGGTGGAATTGTGGGTCCGGGTCAGCACTGAAGTTCCCATTGCTAGATGTGTCCTGTGGGAGGACTAGCAGGCAGAGCTAAAACATTGTGGGGAAGCCCAGCGCAATGGCCTCTTATTCCCAGGGCCCACTCTCTGCAGTCCCAGAGGACTCACAGGTCCTGGGGCTCACCCAGCGCCAAGTCTTACTCCAGCACTGGGCTCGCTGGGGCAAGTGGAACAAGTACCAGCCACTGGACCACGTGCGTCGGTACTTCGGGGAGAAGGTGGCTCTCTACTTCGCCTGGCTTGGTGAGTCCTGCCTTGCTGCAGGGTCTTTGTGTTGTGACAATCTGCCCTCTGGGATAATTCTACTGCCAGACCTTATTCCCCTGATAATAAAACAGACACTGTGTAGATGATTTTTCTTTGGGTCGCCAGCTTACAAATAACAACACAAGGCTTATTAATTATGAAAGCTCGGCCTTAGCTTGGGCTTGTCCCACTACCTCTTCTAACATAATTAATCCATTTATTTTCATCTACATTCTGTTGTGTGGCTTGTTACCTCATCTCTCTGTACTGCCCATGCTGCTTCCTCCGCATCTGGCTGGTGTCTCCACTTTCTTCTTCCCAGAGTTCACTCTCTACCTGGAAGTCCTGCCTGTACCTCCTGCCTAGCTATTGGCTGTTCAGCTTTTTATTACACCAATCACAGCAAATACATCTTCACACAGTGTACAAGTATCCCACAACAACACTAGGCACAGCACTGGGAGCCCCTTAGTTTGTGGGGTCCTTTTGACCACAACTAGCACCCATTCCCTTTTGGGAGGCTCCCTCAGGAATGTCTACTCTGAGGGAAAAGATATCCCCATGGGGAAGTCTACTCCAAGTCAGGCTGGCATCTCAGAGACTGGTCACCCTCTCGGGGATCTGCCTTCTGACTCTCCTTCCCCATCCTGGGAATTACCTTTCCTGCTGTCCAGCATGGCTATGCTGGAAAACTCTTCGTCTGGACTCCAGACAGAGGACACTTTATAGGTGTCTTCTTGGCCTCACAGGGTCAGTAGGGACCAGGCTGACCCCACAGGAAGCAGGCAGGTGCACATTTGATGGATGTGGGATACCTCAGGGGGCCAGGGTGTGGTCCATTGAGATAGTGCCCTGGTGGTGTGTGGGAATAAGGGTGGGCCCAGAAGGACCCACACCTCCACTGGTCAAACTACAAAGCATCCTGTGCCTCTCAGAAAGACACTAGTGAGCAGTTGTTTGGAGGTGGGCATGTGCTAGGGGACACTGTCAGGAGATAAAGCACCCAGTGGGACAGAGTCAAGGGGACACTGTTACTAAGCCCACATGGTGACAGAGTCCAGAGTTGAGGGCAGATGCTCAGAGACTCCCATTCCTTCCAGGTTCTAGTTCCCACTGAGCTTAGCTTGGGTCCCATAAAGCAAATACATCCCTAGGGCACACCCAATTTCTAACTGCTGGACTGTTGGCATCCCTTCTGCAGGGTTTTACACAGGCTGGCTCCTGCCTGCAGCAGTGGTGGGCACCGTGGTGTTCCTGGTGGGATGTTTCCTGGTCTTCTCAGACATACCAACGTAAGTGGCCTCTTACCTTAGCTCCCAAGGCCTCCTGTGCCTCATGACACAAGATGAAAGGTGGTCAGGGGTGTCCCCAGGCTGGTACTGATGCTCAACCTTTTGTCCTTAGAATAGTATAGGCTTTTCCTATAATAAAGGACTGGCTTTGTGTTTTACTTCCTTGTGTAGCTCGAAGTCCAGAAATTTATCTTTCACTATTATTGTTGCATATTTTCAAAAATGCTTTATCTTTCACTATTATTGTTGCATATTTTCAAAAACTGCCTTCTAAAGAAATGCTGGTGGGGTTGGAGATGCATCTCAACTGACAGTACCCGCCCAGCACGCACGAGGCCTTGGCTTAGGTCCCCAGCACGTCGTAAGCCTGTGGTGGTGCACACCTGCAATCCCTCAGGTGACAGAGATAGGAGCATCAGAAATTCAAGGAATCCTCAGCTACGGAGCAAGGTCAAGACCAGCCTGGGATACGCGAGACCCTGTCTCAAAAAACAAAACGATGACTGAACGTTCTAGGACTGCAGAGCAGTGATGTAGGGGGGCGAGGAGAGGGGCTGATTTGGAAGAGGGTGCAGTCCTTCAGTTCCTGGAACCATATCTATACCCCACAGGCAGGAGCTGTGCCACAGTTCCGATGGCTTTGACATGTGCCCACTCTGCGCTGACTGTTCTTTTTGGCTGCTCTCCAGTGCCTGCACCCTGGCCCAGGTATGGAAGGAGAGCTGGGGTCAGGGTGTTGAAGGTGGGCAGCTCCTAAAGGTCCTGGTTCTATCTGTGAAGTCACAACCCTCGGCGAGCTGTCGACTCTGGTGCCCCTAACCTGGCATTCAGGTTAGGTCTGGTATGTCGTACAAATGACTCAAGAATGTCACAAAGTAGCTTTGACTGATATGTGTGTTAGATATCCATGTCTTAGTTTGCTTTCTATTGCTGTCAGAAGTCACCACGACCAAAAGCAGCTTGGGGAGGAAAGGATTTATTTGGATGACATGCTCTGATCATAGCCCATCATGAAGGGAAGTCAGGGCAGGAACTCAAGGCAGGAACCTGGAGGCAGGAACTGAAGCAGAGGCCATGGAGGAGTGCAGCTTACTGGCTTGCTCACCAGACTCACGCTTAGCCTGCCTTCTTATACCTCCCAGGACCACCTGCCCAGGGCAGCACTGCCCACTGAGCCTTCTCTACAGGCCAATCTGATGGAGGTATTTTCTTATTTGAAATTCTCTCTTCCCAGATAACTCTAGTTTGTGTCAAGTTGACAAAAACAAGCAAACAAACAAGCAAACACTAATCAGCACAAAAGATTAACCAAGTGATCACCTGGAAACCTGCCCCAGGACTTTTAGCTATGGCATCTCCAGAAGCTCTTAGGCACCAGCAGAACCAAGAGTGTGGACTTCAAGGTGGGCGGTGGTGGTGCACGCCTTCAATCCCAGCACTTGGGAGGCAGAGGCAGGCAGATCTCTGTGAGTTTGAGGCCAGTCTGGTCTATGGAGTGAGTTCCAGGACAGCCAGGGCTACACAGAGAAACCCTGTCTCTAACAAGCAAGCAAGCAAGCAAACAAACAAACAAACAGAGTCTGGACTCTGAGCAGGATTCCCAGCCTAGGAGACCTGGCCACAGGCTCTGTGCAGCTGGCTAGAGGCTCGGCCAGCATGGACCTGGGTATGCTTCCTTTCCATGCATTCCTGACATCCTTGGTGCCCGGGATGAACCCACACTCCCTTTGCTTCTATCCCAGAAATCCTCCTGGGTGTGTCTTAGATGATCCCTTAAGAGGTAGAGAATCAAGGCTGGAGAGATGGCTCAGTGGTTAAGAGCACTGGCTGTTCTTCCAGAGGAGCTGGGTTCAATACCCAACACCCCACATGGCAGCTCACAACTGTCTGTAATTCCAGTTCCAGGGGCTCTGACACCTTCACACAGACAAATGTACAGGTAAAGCAACAACACACATAAAATAAAAATAAACTGTATTTAAAAAGGATAGAGAATCAGAAATTCAAGGTCATTCTCAATGCATAGCAAGTTCGAGACCAGCCAGACATACATAAGACCCTTTCTCTCTCAAAATACAAACAAAAAACCCAGAATAACAACAACAGCAACAACAAGTGTGCTGGGTCTGGCAGAGCAGTGATGGGATGAAGGATGCTGTGCTGCCTGGCAGGTGAAGGCTAGATGCTGAGCTCTCTGGCTCCTTGGTATCTAGTCTGTGGCTGCCTCTCTGTTCCTACTTCCTGTTTCTGTCTCCATGGCCTTTCTTTCCCTAATGTGTTCCATCAGGCATTCTTATGAGAGCTGACATTGGGGTTATGATCCCATGGAAGGCACTTTTCTCTGGAAATCCATACCTTAATTACATCTATAACCAAAGCGTCCTACTCCAAATAAAATTACATCAAGGGACATATCCTCTTTGAGAGTCACAATCCAACCCACTACAACTCCCCCTAAGCCTCCCAACTTCTGACTACCTTGTGTGTGAAACACATTCATCTGTCCCAGTATCCTCCAGTTTTTCTAAAACACAAAACTCTCCTCTCTATGTGCTCGGCTCAGATGAATCCAAGTCAGGCATGAGTGAGCTGGGCCAGACTGAGCAATGGGCTGGTTGCGTGCCAATTGCTAAGAGTTCTTGCTTAGCATTCATGAGACCCTGGGTTTGGCCCCTCCCTCCACGTAAACAAGGGTGGTAGCATGCCTGAGACAGAGGCAGGAGGATCAGGAATTTGAGATCATCCTCAGTGGCAGGGTGAGTTTGAAGGTACTCTTTAAAAAGAGATTCCCTGGACTGGGTGAAACTAGGCATTTGCAGCTCCTGAGAGGCCTTCTCCCTGTGGGTCTTGGGCATCGTGGTGTGCCTGTGTGGGAAGACACTCCAGCTCCAGAAGAAGGGCCTGTGAAAGGACCTCCCGTCCTTGGGAAGACTTGGAGTCCCCTCTCCCCTGCAGGCTGGGCGGCTCTTTGACCATGGCGGTACTGTCTTCTTCAGTTTGTTCATGGCGCTGTGGGCGGTGCTGCTTCTGGAGTACTGGAAGCGGAAAAATGCCACATTGGCCTACCGCTGGGACTGCTCTGACTATGAGGACATTGAGGTAAGTGGGCTGGGCTGGGTGGCTTCTGGCAAGGGTCACACCCTCCTGAGCATGGTTCCCTTTCAGGAGAGGCCTCGGCCCCAGTTCGCTGCGAAGGCTCCTCTGACAGCCCTGAACCCCATCACTGGGGAAGACGAACCCTACTTCCCTGAGAAGAGCCGTGTACACCGCATGCTGGCTGGCTCTGTGGTTCTCCTGATGATGGTGCGGGGCTCCTGCCACCCTGTCTCCTCTGCCTCTGTCTTCCTGAGCCTCAGGGGTTCTTTCCTCCAGAAAGGCTCCTGTGCTCTGTGCCTCAGGGAAGGGCCTGAGCCCAGGGCCAAACTGGGCTTTCATAAGGGGTGTGTATGTGCATATACCATGAGGGGTTCTGGAAGAGCTTCACCATGTGTGGCCCAGGGCACCCACTAAACAAGAGAACGGATTCCAAAAATGAGCATGGGGCACACTAATTCCTTTGGTACCTTCTTTTTTTTTTTTTTTTTTTTGGTTTTTCGAGACAGGGTTTCTCTGTGTAGCTTTGCACCTTTCCTGGAACTCACTTGGTAGCCCAGGCTGGCCTCGAACTCACAGCGATCCGCCTGGCTCTGCCTCCCGAGTGTTGGGATTAAAGGCGTGCGCCACCACCGCCCGGCCCTTTGGTACCTTCTAGTCAAAGACTGCTTAAAAGGATCCCAGCCCTCTCCAGGATCCAAATTTAGGGCTGTAAAGAAGTGGCTGAATGGGGCACAGTTCTCCAACACTGGGTAGAAGGTCAACATACAGTAACTACCTGGCATCCTGACCTCCCAGTCCTAACCTGCCCCACCTCTGGAGAACCCATGGGGCATAGGCAGCCTGCAGATGAGAGCCCTGGGAAAAGGAACCTGTGGAGCTGCTGTGGACCCAGAGGCCTGTGTAGGCCTATGGCCTGAGGGTGTGGGTGCTGGGTCCACAGCAGGGGCTCAGGACTCTCCTGGTCCTGCAGGTGGCCGTGGTGATTATGTGCCTTGTGTCTATCATTCTGTACCGGGCCATCATGGCTGTGCTTGTGTCCAAGTCAGACAATGCCTTCCTTTCGGCCTGGGTGAGTCTCCGCTGCCTGTTCTTCTGGGGGCTTCCAACCCCCCTCTTGTGCCTGCTCTTATCATCTGTTCCCCATCAGGCTCCACGCATTGCCAGCCTCACAGGGTCAGTGGTGAACCTTGTCTTCATCGTCATCCTTTCCAAGGTCTACGTGGTCCTGGCCCAGGTCCTAACAAGATGGGGTAAGTGCTGGCCAAACCAATACAAACATGGACTGATTGCCGTGGACCCATGTTCCCAAAGAGGCATCTGCACTGTCTCCCAGAGACCTCCTTAAAATGGCGGCGGGGGGGGGGGGTTGTTAAGGGAAAGGGTCAAGAGCACTCAGCCAAGGGCTCTACTTCTACCTTCCTCACAAGATCCTTCAAGCTTGTAGAGTTCTCAGCGTGATACTAGAGCCTCCAGAAGAAGGACTAGGACCTCCACCAGGTGGACTAGGGATGGGGGCTTAGCTGTGACCAGCTCAGACCACTCCAAATGGTTACCAAGTGTCTGCACATCCTCTGTATCTGTCCCCAGGTCAAGCTGCCTCTCCCTCTGCCACTGTCTCTCCACTTCTCTGTCTGTCTTCAACTTTCCCTAAGAGCAGACGCTAAGAGGCCCAATCACTTGTCCCACAAGGCCTTGCCTATACCAGCCCCGACCAAGCAAGGTCCTGGGAAGGGGCAGAGCGCCCTTGGGGCACATGGACGGAAAGGGAATACAGTACTAAGGGAGGTCTCCAGGTAGGTGCCAGGGGAGTTCTTACCTGGAAGAGCCACAGGTAGATGTTCCCAGGAGAATGAGCAGTGGAGCTGGAGCTGGTGTAGGTTCCCACAGTTGTGGGACTTTTGGTCCCTTTTCCTCCAACTGACCTTTTACGTGCCCACATTGGTCTTGGCAATTTTTTTGCAATATAGCTCAGCTCTCACTCAGCTTTGACCAGAAACTATTTGTCCTTGGACATATCCCACCCCCAACCTTATCTACACACACTTTTAAAAATTATTACATGTATTTAATGTGCGTGTGTGCTCATGTGCTACGGCTTGTGTGTGCTATGGTACAATTGTGAGGGTTAGTTCTCTCCTTCCAGGTGAGTTCTGGGGATGGAACTCCGGTAATCAGGCCTGGCAGCAAGCACCTTTATTCACTGAACCATCTCACTGGTCCTGTATTTTAACGAGGGTGCAAATGTTAGATTTTAGTGTTTTGTTTTTTTTTTTTTTTCGGTCACTATTCCAGGCATTCCTAATTGTATTAGTTACCTTTTTTGCTAAATTACCAGACAGAGTGACTTAAGGGAGGAATTATGTATCCCTGATCACAGTTTCAGAGGTGACAGTCCATCACAGCAGGGAGGGTGTGGTGTCCAGAAAGCAAGGAGGGGAATACAGGACAGGATCAGGTAGAATACAGACCCTAGGACACCTGCTTTTTCCATGCAGGCCCCAACTTCCACCAAATTCCAATAGTATTATCAGCGTATTATTAATCCGTCTGATTAGCAATATTGATCCACTGATAAGGTCAGAGTCCTCATGAGCTAATACTCTTTGGAAACAACCCTGGACAGACCAATAGGTGTGTTTTCATAATCCAATTTAACCCAATCACATACACAATCAAGATTTACCACCGCTTTAATCACGTTTTAGGAAAATTTAGAAATTAGAACTTTAGGATTGCTCTATGTTGACCCCCCTCCTTTGATGAACTTTAAACTCTCTGGACAACATGGCTTCTTCCTCACCCTGGATGGTGGTGTGGTCTCCTGGGAAGGGGCAGTGCACTGGAACTGGTCAGCATACCCGGGGAACTGAGAGAGAGCCCCATCTGCACAGAGATGCACCGGACACAGACCTCATTCGAGGATGCCTTCACCCTCAAGGTGTTCGTCTTTCAGTTTGTCAACTTCTACGCCTCGCCTGTGTACATTGCTTTCTTCAAGGGCAGGTAGGTGTCACCTCAACTTGTCACCTCTCCTCTGTGGCTCAGCTTTGCCCCACTCTGCTCAGCAGCGGATGGAGATAGGTAGCCAGGGCAAAGGACTGAGCAAGAATGACTTCATGGGCTGGGAGGGGGCAAGGGGTCAAGTCTGTGCTTCTCCCAGCCAGGCCTCAGGGGTGGGAAAGAGAGGAGACACTCAGAATCTAGTCTCTCACAGCCTCACAATTTGAATCCTGCTAGGTTTGTGGGATACCCAGGCAACTACCACACCTTGTTTGGAGTCCGAAATGAAGAGGTGAGTGTGGTGAGGACACACCCAGCCAGGGAATGGAGGCTAGGCTCCCTCTGTACCCACTGAGGCCTTAATTTCTGCTATTCTTTGTGCCCACCTTCCACCACTGTCCAAGCCAGAGGCCAGGCTTACAGCTGCTTCCTAAGACTCCAGGACTCTACCACATCAGCCCCTGATTCACAACCACTGTCTAGAGAATACACACATCATGGGTCTTTGCCCTACTCTGATTTAACCCAATACACACCCTGGAGGCATCTGAGCCCTTAGGATGCCCTCCATGAGGGGGGCACTGGTCAGTGCCCCCCAGCCTCACTGTCTGGGTTCTCCATGGCCATCCTCTCCCACGGATACTAGTGTGCTCTACTTCTCTTTGGGAATCAGGAGAGTCTGGCTTCTCAGATGTGCAGTGGCCTTGGCAGAGGATGGCATGTGGGTTCCTCTGGAGGGGACAGGGCTTCAAGACACCAAAGTAGAAATACCAAGAAGGAGTAAGGAATGGACTCTATGTTGCCCAGACACCCAAAGAACTGTCTTTACACTTCCGGCCTTGTTAGCTGAGGGCCATTCGGGATTGATCAGAGGTACAGGTAGTGTGGTGGGTACATCTGGAGCTGTCCAGTGGTGGCTGTAGAGCTGGACTTGGGAGACATGGGGTTCCACAGCCCTTACTGGCCACCAGATCTGAAAGACCCTTCTCTTTTTAGAACTCTTCCCAGGGCCTGGGCCATTATCTCATCTTACTGCAAGCTGGCTCACCTCCCTGAGGGAAGCTGTCCACCTTTACATTAAGGGGAAGGAACTATGTAGGGAGAGGCAGAGCAACCGGGCCCCTACCTCAGGGCCACACTGCGGCTGCTGTGCCATATGAGGTAGCTTTCACCTCTTAGTGAGATGCCCAGCTCAGACTGCCTTAGGTGAGAAAAGGGCTACCACATGCTCTTGCATTGAAATTATTGGAGACCCTGGTTCAAGAATGGCTGGATCCAGGTGCTGCCCTCAGCACTGACTGAGTTCTCATTGTTTCCCACCCTGGGAGGGATGACATCCCATGGTGTGGCTGAGTCTCCCAGGCATGGCTTGCACTCCTAGAAACTCCTTGGGTCTGACTCTTGAGTGACTACATCTTGGGTCTTCCCTGGAGCCTGTGGCGACAGTTGGCTGAGGAGCTACAGGGCACAAAGTACAGCTGCCCAGTGGCTGTTCCCACACATAACTGAAGTGAGGTGGAAAGGGCCGATCTCTGCAATTCTCAAGGTACTCCAGGCATGTCCTGTGGGAGGTGGAGGTAGAGAAGCCGCCTTTGAGACAAAAAGCTAGGTGAGCGTGTGCCTGGTCCCTCCCCACAGCTAACCTGAAGTTGTCCTGCAGTGTACGGCTGGAGGCTGCCTCATTGAGCTGGCACAGGAGCTCCTGGTCATCATGGTGGGCAAGCAGATCATCAACAATGTGCAGGAGGTCCTTGTCCCGTAAGTCACCTCCACCCTGCCCTGGCAGCTTCGAGGGAACAGGGTTTCCTCAGAGTGCTAGGAGAATGAAAGGGGAGGCAGGACTTGCCGTACCCTAGGCTGCCATGTCACACTGTGGGCTTCACAACAGCCTCTCCCGTCTGTTGTTATGGCTGTGGTGTTGGGGGGGCTTGTCACCAGCACAGCCTCTGGACAGCTCTGTCAGGGGAGGCCTGGGTTCCTCAGTAGGAGACCACAGAGGCCAGCATGTATTTCCTACCACCACCCACCAGCCTGGGAGGGATACGCAAGAGGAGGCCCCGGGCCTCAGGTTCGACTCCTAGACTCATGCCTGTTTCAGGTTCCCTTGTTAGGCACCAGCTCCTCATCCTTGTCCCACTAGCTGGAACTATGGCCTCCCTCATAGGCTGGAGTCCTCCAAAGAGTCTGCCCAGGAATAGTCTCCTACCTGAGGCCACACCAACCCAGATGCCCATTACCACCTCCAAAAGGCAGTGTTCGCTACACTACAACCATAGCAGTCTCTCTCTGGAAGCATCTTGGCTTCTCTGGCATTCAGGGGGACCAGGAAGTGCAGGGTAAAGCTCAGTGTCTAGCAGGTGCAGGTCGTGTGAGGAAGCCAATACAATCTGATAAGCAACACATGTGTTCGATGCACGACACCTCACAACCTCTGACAAAGCCTCATACACACAGGACTGATACCTGCCTCCCGGGTGTGATGCAGCCACATCTATGTGGCCCCAGTATGATGAAGCCCACATACCTGGCCCCATGGCCCCTCTGCTTTCCTGGGACTCAGCTGTTAGCCTCACTAGCTCCTTCCTAGCCTTGCTATGGTTCCACCCTCCAAAGGCTCCAGGGAGCCGGGTTGACCTTCTGGAGGACACAGCAGGAAACCAGAAAGGCAAACTGCATCATGTCCCATAGAAGGGTCCAGGGCCTTGGATGAGTCTGACCTGCAAGAACTACAAGTCCCTTGCCCTGCCCAACCTCGCCTGAGGGCAACAGCCCGTCCAGGGTGCGTGTCCTCTCAGACGAGCTCATCATCACTGGACGTTGGAGCAGCCCTGGCATCTTCCACTTTCTACCTGCAGAAAGCTGAAGGGCTGCTGGCAGAAGCTGTACTCCAGGAGAGGGAAGGCTGCCATGGGGGTCCACCCAGCACCTTGGGAGGCTGACTATGAGTTGCTGCCTTGTGAGGGGCTGTTCCACGAGTACCTTGAAATGGGTAAGATCCACAATACAGCGACACTGGCCCTGGCCTACCCTGACATGCAATGTGTCATTGAGAGGTGGGGGGACACAGGGGCCCTGGGAGTCAGCCTACAGATATCTGGAGGAGAGATGGGGTGGCAGCAGAGCCAGGGTGGTGGTGGTGAGAGGTGGGGAGGTGGGGGGTGGGGCTGGGGCTGGGGATGCCTGGGAGCTGAGGCTGTGTATTAGGGGAAGCAGGTCCTGGGGCAGAGCCAAGATTCTCCAGCATGTGAAGGTAGGTACACCTGGGCCATGCCAGTCTAGAGGGCTGATTTCCTCTAACGGGTTTCCTTAGTTGTGAAACTGCCAAGTGGTGGCCCATACCCATAGCTTGAGGGGTGTGATGGTTTTGAGGGCGGGGTTTGTGCCTGACTAACACAAGGGACATCTGGCACAGTCATAACTTTGTCAGCAGAGCCTGGCAACCAAAGCATAACCAGTAACAGTTGCAGGATCACTCTGTGGATAAGAAACCGGGTGGGTTACAGGGAGCAGGTTGATATTATGTATCCTGCACAATGGCATCTGAAGACCTCGCTAAGCAGTTTTACAGAAGACCCAGGCTACCCCTGGAGCTAAATGGGAAGGATAGTTGTAAAGCCAGAGGCAGGTTTTCCCCGACTTCAGATGTATTGGGTGGCCAGGGCCATCCAGGAGCACCATGATCAGAGTAGTGCAGATCAGGGCTCCCAAGCCTAGGGGCCAGTCAGGAAGGTGGGCAGTGGCCCTGGCCCTGAATATAACCGGCGGGGAGGAAAAAGGGCGAAATCAACTGCTTGGTGCTTTGGTGGGTAAGCTGGGCGTCCCTACCCCATCCCCGCCACGGGTGATCTGAGAGGCTGACCAGCTCCAGCCAGCGGCTACTCCTGCCCCGCAGTGCTGCAGTTCGGATTCGTCACCATCTTCGTGGCCGCCTGCCCGCTGGCGCCGCTTTTTGCCTTGCTCAACAACTGGGTGGAGATCCGCCTGGACGCGCGCAAGTTCGTGTGCGAGTACCGGCGCCCGGTGGCCGAGCGCGCCCAGGACATCGGCATCTGGTTCCACATCCTAGCGGGCCTCACACACCTCGCCGTCATCAGCAACGTGAGCGCCCGGCTCGCCGGCTGGGTGGGGCGGCGGCGGCGGCGGCCGGGGGTGGGGTGGGAGCCGGGGCCCGCTGACGTCACCCGCGCTGACCCCGCGCCCGCAGGCCTTCCTGCTGGCCTTTTCCTCCGACTTCCTGCCGCGTGCCTACTACCGCTGGACGCGCGCCCCCGACCTGCGCGGCTTCCTCAACTTCACGCTGGCGCGCGCGCCGCCAGCCTTTGCGGCTGCGCACAACCGCACTTGCAGGTGAGTGCGTGATTCTCTTTCGGGGTTACTCATCCATTCCTCCTCCGATGCCCCTACTCACCCCCCCCCCGAGATGTAGGTTTTTGGTTTTTGGTTTTTGTGTTTGTTTTTTTCGAGACAGGGTTTCTCTGTGTAGCTTTGGTGCCTGTCCTGGAACTCACTCTGTAGCCCAGGCTGGCCTCGAACTCACAGAGATCCGCCTGGCTCTGCCTCCTGAGTGCTGGGATTAAAGGCGTGCGCCACCACCGCCAGGTTTTTGTTTTTGGTTTTTTGAGACAAGGTTTCTCTCTGTAACAGCCCTGGATGTCCTGGACCTCCTGCTGTAGATCAGGCTGGTCTCGAACTCAGGGAACCTGCTGGGATTAAAGGCGTGAGCCACCACGGCTCGGCCGACATGTAGGTTTTTGTTGTTTGGTCTTCGAAGCTGTCTCTCATGTATCTAAGGATGACCTCGAACTAAAAAAAAAAAATTTTTTTTTAAATTTTATGTATACGAGTTTTGGCTGCATGTATGTACATGCCCAGAAAAGCCATAACAGGGCATCGGATCCCCTGCAGCTGGAATTACAGATGATTGTGAGCAACCATGTGGGTGCTGGGAATCGAACCCTCTTCAAGAACAAGTGCTCTAAAACTACGGAGTCATCTCTCCAGCCCCTGGCCTTGAATCCTAATGTAGGCTGACCTTGAACTTCTGCAGCCTGACTTCCGGGTGTAGTCTGTGTGTTTCTTACCCGTCTAGAGTTGAAAATGTACACTCCTTTCTTTCTGAAGTATCAGTAAACAAAACTTTTTTTTTTTCCGGAGCTGAGGACCGAACCCAGGGCCTTGCGCTTGCTAGGCAAGTGCTCTACCACTGAGCTAAATCCCCAACCCTAGTAAACAAATTTTTGTCAACATTTACTTCAACACATTTGGTAATAGCCTTAACTCTTTTAAGTTCAACTGATCACCAGGAGTTACTTAGAAGGTCCCCATAAGGAGTTCTCTCTCAGATCTCGGAGTTACAGACAGTTGTGAACTGCTATGTGGATGCTGAGAATTGAACCGGGTCCTCTGGAAAACCAGAAACCAAACAAACCCAACCATCCCCAACATTGATTCTAGCTTGTAGCTTGTAGAACTTGAGTTGGTGTGTGTATTTCATTGGTTGAGTCTTCTTTCAGTGATCTGGTTACAGTGGAGTTTGGCACGTTTCACATGAGCTTGAAAAAGTTTTCTTAACTTTGGAGCATGTTTACAGATAGACCCATTAGGCCAGGGTTCCTACTTTTTGATTTTCCTTTCTTCTCATTCTCACCTCACTTAACCCATTAGATTCTAATAGATGTGATTCAAAATCTTGTAAAGAATGTAACGTCAGTTTCTCCAGATAGGACTTTTTATGTATTTTGAAGTTCTTAATTGCAATGAGTTCATCTTTGTGATTTTTTTCAAAGAGACTGCTTTTTCCTTTTATTCTTATTTTTCCCTTATGTCCTTTTTGTTTGTTTTGGTTTTCAGGACAGGGTTTCTCTCTGTAGCCCTCACCATCCTGGAACTAGCTGTGTAGACCAGGCTAGCCTTGAACTCACAGAGATCCTCCTGTCTCTGCCTCCCGAGTGCTGGGATTAAGGGCGTGCGCCACCACTGCCCGGCTCGAAAAGCTATTTTTATATGTGTGTTTTGCCTGTGTGTATGTTTATGTACAACATGTGTACATTGCCCCACAGAGAAAGATCAGAACAGGGCATCTGGCTCAGTATAGTAGCAAATGCCTTAATCCCAGCACTCAGGAGGTTGAGGATGGTGGATCTCTCATTAGTTTGAGAACAGCCTGGTCTACATAGCTAGTTCTAGGACAGCCAGAGCTAGATAGTGAGACCCTAATTGCAAAAAACCACATGTACACACGCACACAAGCATGTGCACACACACACACACACACACACAAACAGAGAGAGAGAGAGAGAGAGAGAGAGAGAGAGAGAGAGAGAGAGAGAGAGAGAGAGAATCAAGTCCCCTAGAACTGGAGTTATAGTCAGTTGTGAGCTACCATGTGGATGCTGGGAACCAAACCAAGAGCTCTTAAATGCTAAGCCATTCCAGCCCCTCAGTCCTTACATGTATGGAAATACTTCTCTGCATCCTTCTCTTTCAAATACCAGGTATAAATTACAGGTGAAGTTGTTTTGCTTGTATCTCAGGAAATAGTATTCTTTTGTGACTTGCTATGCCATCCCTGTTTAAAAACCGACACAAACGATGAGAAAGGATGGTATCTTAGCTTATGGTTTCTGCGGCTTCAGCCCATGCTGGGTGCCCCACACCAGTCCCTTCTCCTTCCCTCCATCTCATTCTTTTTTTAATTTTAAGACGAAGTTGTTACTGCTTTACTCTTTCAGCAACGGTCTTCTCCCTGAACACGGGATTGCAGGCCTGCCACACCTCACTTGTAACTCTTAACATTTTCATTAGCAGCGTTCATAGGTAGAGTTTACGGTTTCTCCCTCTTAACGTTTTCATTAGCAGCGTTCACAGGTAGCGCTTACGGTTTCTCCCTCATTTCCTATGTTCCACTAACACATATCTGTTGGGGTAGGGTTGGTTTTAAAGTTTCTCATTTAGTTTCACAGTGTGCTGTTGACCTAGAGTGATGTCTTTGTTCCAGAAATATGTTTAATTAATAAAAATAATTTATAGACAGTCTTACTGACCAGGCTGGCCTTGAACTCACAGAGGTCCACCTATTTCTGCTTCTGAGTGAGTACAGGGAAAAGTGTGTGCCACTCTGCGCAGTCACTTTCTTCCTTTAAACAGTCTGTGTCTATGAGCCAGCTGGAGAGTCTCTCCATCTCTCCTCTCATCTTGAATACTCTTGAGTCCTTTGCTCTCGGCACTACCTTCAGAGGGGATTTCATCACTGCTGCCTTACATACTCTGTCTTTTTTCTGTTGCACTGAGTTTAGCCATGTCAAGCTTATCCCATCCATCGAGGACTTGTTAGACTCCCACTGCTGGGACAGAACACCTGCCATAAACAACTCAGGAGGTTTCTGAGGCTTCAGTCCATGGTTGCTGGCTTCTGTGTTTTGGGGACATGGGTAAGGCAGAAAAGGTGTGCAGAACAGAAATGCTTATCTGATGGCAGCCAGGAAGCAGGAGAAAGGTAACGGGGCTGGAGTCTAAGCACACCCTTCACAGGCCTGGCCCCAGTCAGCTGCTTCCCCCAGCTAGGCTCTACCTCCTAAGTTTCTGCCACCTCCCAGGAGTGCTACCAGATGGGGAAGAAATTTTCAGTACACGAACCTTCAGGGCTGTTCCAGATCCAAACTGTAACAGGGATTTTGCTTTCAATGATAAAGGTTTTTTTATTTATTCTTTCCCCTGAGACCCTGAGACAGGGTTTCTCTGTGTAGTTTTGGTGCCTTTCCTGGAACTCACTTTGTAGACCAGGCTGGCCTCAAACTCACAGAGATACACTTGCCTCTGCCTCCTGAGTGCTGGGATGAAAAGCGTGTGTCACCACCACCCAGCCCCAGTGATGACGTTTTTAATGTTCAAGATTTCACCCCATGGGTTGGGGATTTAGCTCAGTGGTACAGCGCTTGCCTAGCAAGGCCCTGGGTTCAGTCCTCAGCTCCAGAAAAAAAAAAAAAAGAAAAAAAGAAAAAAAAAGGATTTCACCCTTGCCCCACCCCACACAGTTCCCTGGTGATGCTTTTCCTGGAGTGGAACTTATGAGTATGTACCAGAGTGGAACATCCATCTTTACCATGTGACAAACACAGGAAGATGTCAAAAGACAGGATGGTCTGAGATAGTGCAGGAGCTGAAGGCTGCATGTTCTGGCAAAGCAGTGGTCCTCAACCTTCCTAATGCTGCAACCTTTTAATATAGTTCCTCATGTTGTGGTGACCCCCAAACCATAGAATTATTTTCATTGCTACTTCGTAATTGTAATTTTGCTGTTATGAATTGCAAATATCTGTGTTTTCTGATGGTCTTAGGCAACCCCTGTGAAAGGGTCATTTGACCCCAAAAGAGGTCATGACTCACAAGTTAAGAACCACTGTGGTGCCAGGCCGTGGTGGTTGCACGCCTTTAATCCCAGCACTCCGGAGGCACAGGCAGGTGAATCTCTGTGAGTTAGAGGCCAGCCTGGTCTACAGAGTGAATTCCAGGACAGGACAGCCAGGGATACACAATGAAACACTGCCTTGGGGGGGGGGGGGAGAACTGCTTTGGTAAGGGAGTAAAGCAGCTGCTGGCTTGTAGAGATTAATTACATCTTCTGGTGTAAGTAGATGGACAGCATTTGTAGAAGTCTCTTTGGGCTGTTACATCTATTAAAGACATTTGCAGCTTAGCCCCGTGGGGTGAAAGGACAACCTTTCCCACCCACTCATTTAGAACTTCACCAGTTAAAGATACTGAGTCCCTGTTTGGGGGTAATTCCTGTTTCAGAGAGCATTGCCAGAAAGCTGGTCTGTGGACAGCACCAAAGAGTCAGAGAAGGAAAATGGAAAGGCTGATTCTAGATGGACCACTTGCCAGCTAGAGCTCAACCCAAGAGCAGTACCCCGAGTCTTGTGTCTCCTGCAGGTACCGGGCGTTCAGGGATGATGATGGACACTATTCCCAGACTTACTGGACTCTCCTGGCCATCCGCCTGGCCTTTGTCATCGTGTTTGAGGTATCTAAGACCTCTGAAAGCTCTTCCAATGACTCCCATCCCCTTGCTGGCCCCTGTACTTAACATGATGCCCCTGACTTGCTTTGCCTAACCTAAGCCTGTGGGTCAGTAAGACCAAAGAACTCCCACTCTGTCTTCTCCGCTCATCGAAATTCTCTGCACCTTACTTGCCGGCCTCTGCCCCTGGCTCATGGGCTAGCTAGCCATTGAGTGCTCTGAGGATTGCAAGGTGCTATGGGGACCTCTGAAGGGCCGTACACCCTGGTCTCTGTGGTCTAGGCCTCTGCTCCTCCAGCAGTTCCACTCACCTGGGAGCCTGGCTGCCTAAAGGCTAGTCTGGGCTTTTGTTTTACCAAGGGCTGGGGGGCGGGGTGGGGCTTCTACCGCCAGCACGTGGTGTTCTCCATTGGCCGTCTTCTGGATCTCCTGGTTCCTGACATCCCAGAGTCTGTGGAGATCAAGGTGAAGCGGGAATACTACTTAGCTAAGCAGGCCCTGGCTGAGAACGAGGTGAGCATCCAAGCCCTGACCCTCACGCTCTCAGGCCCCATGACTAACCATGGACCTTAGTTCCCACCTAGTCAGTCCTTACAGCACATCCACAAAGTGGGCAAAGGACTGGGGGGTTTTTATAGTCACATCTATTCTGTAGTCACCCTGACAACTCACTTTCTTCAAGACAGGCTCTCCTTGGAGCAACAGGAGCGAAGGATGACCAGCTTCCAAGCTCAGAGTCTGGGCCTTCCAGCCTAGGGTCTTAGAACTAGTAACCTCCTCTCTGAGGGTTACTGGAGGCTGACACACTTGCTTGGAAGACTGCTGAAGATGTCGTAGGGGACAGTTCACTGTGCATGTCCTTGGAGGCCATGGCCATGCTCGTGGCCCCAGCTCAACTTACCCCCTATGCTTGGTTTAGAAATAACCAGGCCCCTGGCTGCCAGTCTTCAGCTCATACATACTGCTTGGCCACCACCCCTACTAGGTATTCCTTAAGGCCACCCAAATGGAGCAGCAGTGCTTAGAGACATCTGTTGGCCTTCAGGGGGCTATCCCCTACTGCCACTCCTAAGTCCCTCAGCCAATGGCTTGTCTCCCTTTATCTCAGGTCAAAAGGGCTATCTGGGGCTGGAGAGATGGCTCAGAGGTTAAGAACACTGACTGCTCTTCTACAGGTCCTGAGTTCAATTCCCAGCAACCACATGGTGGCTCACAACCATCTGTAATGAGATCTGGTGCCCTCTTCTGGCCTGCAGGTGTACATGCAGGCAGAACGTTGTATGCATAATAAATAAATCTTTAACCAAAAAAAAAAAAAAAAAAAAAAAAAAAAGAAAAAAAAAGGGCTATCTGAAACGCTGGCTTCTGTGGCTCTCATTTTTACAATGCTGGCCATTGTACTCAGAGAATCCGTGCTTCCCTTGCCTCAGCCAGGACTTTCTCTTATCTCGAGTAGGGAGGATCCCTGTTTCCTATCCCTAAACCAAAGGCTAAGGGGCCTCTGCATGCATTCCTGAATCCTAGTGACCAGGAGGTGGCTTTACTGTTGACACATCCTCCCACCCCTCTGTCCTCATCCTTGGGCATAAGTCCTCTGTCAACTGAGGTCAGACTCTGGAGTCCCTGCCTCCTCAGGGATTTACTCAGTTATTTGCAGCATTCCTTGTGATAGTGTAGGGTCCGACCACCCCTCCAGACCCACCCTCTGCCTCTCCTCACATGGTCATTGCACATCTGCCTCTCAGACCTGATACCACATCCCAGGCCACAGTAGGAAGCCTGTGCCTGCTCTTTCTTGCATACCTGATTACCCAAGGCCTCTGCAATATCTATCCCCTTTGTCTCCTGTGTGCCTTCCAGTGCTGGGCCAGGGACTCACTCAGCACATAGCAAGCACAGACCAGAGAAGGCTGTGGAATGAAGCCTTACCCCTTACAGTAGAAGCTGAAAAACAAAACAAAAACAAACAAACCAACCAACCAGATTTCTGTGACACCTAGTGGACCTTTTCCATTTTCCCTTTCTTTGTGTTTACATACAACTACTTTTCAAATTGGGTACAATTTGGGCCTTTTCCCGTTGCTTGCCTTCTGTTAGCTGGGTTAACTGATGGCTAATTGCCAGTTATTTCCTACCCACTCATGATGGGATATGGGTCTTTCCTCTTCTGCCACCCAACCACACTGGAATAAAGGTCTAAAAGTCAGTACTTATCTGTGCTTATTTCTGTAGGGTTATTAGGACTCACCAAGAGGTTGTCAGCACAACCAAGAGAAATATGCAGTTTTGGAAGGCCGTGAAACACACACATTTCCTTTGAAAACCTTTTTCCAAACCATGGTCTCATCCACATACCCATTGCTTCACTTTGGCAACTCCTGGCCTCAGATGTGGCTCTGTGCTTACTCTGGCATTTGACATGGGACAAGGCTGCCCACTGAAGCTTGCGTGGCTGCTGGACAACCTAGCCAGTTCAATGAGTGCATTTGCTGGGGAAAGCCTTACTACACAAGCCACATGTACTTTCTTCAAGCTGTTTTGTTGTCATAGTCTTTAAAACCTATTGTGTGTATTTAAGACCTGTGGGTAAGTGTGGGGATGTGTGCCACAGCTCATATACAGAACTCAGGAAACAACTCTGTGGGGCCAGTTCTTCCCCTGGGCTCCAGGGATTACACCGAGGTCAGGCTTGTACAGTGTAGTGTTGGACTGAGCAATGGCCCTCACAGGCTTTGGCAGTTGAATACTCCATCCCCGTTTGCGGATGCTTAGGTGGTACAGCCTTGCTGGAGGAAATTTTGAGAAAGTGTACCATTCCAGTTGGTGCTCTCTGCTTTGTATCTACGGGTCAAGATGCAACTTCCATCCTCCTGCTCTTCCGCTGCGTCCGCTACAGCCTTAACCCCCTTCTCAAAGTTGACTTGTTTTTATCAGTGACAGAAAAGTAACTACTGCATGCAGGAAGCACGTTTACCTAAGCCACTCCACTGGCTCTATCTTTAAAATATTAAAACAAACTTGCCCAAACAGAAGAAAATACCTGCCTTTACCTGAAGGAGTGTCATGTAAACACACTGCTGAAACCAATCCAGGGCGGCCCATGCCTTACCCATCCGGGACAACTAAGCCAGGAGTCAGCCATGAACTCCCAGTGACTTCCACTGGACACCAGGGTCGTATCCACAACACTACAGGAGGCGCTTATTGGTGCTGGGACCTGAAAGTAGACCCACTGTGGGGTCCTGTTTTCATCTGGAACCATCTTGCAGGTGTGCTTCCTCAGGATGCATCCCCTGGGCTGGAGATGCTGGGTTACCGGCCTTCTCAGCGAGAGGTGCTATGCTGGGCCCTTGCTCCCTTAGCCCCTTTGATGGATCTTCTATGGCATGGGGACTGGAGTAGTTGGTCCTTAATTAACCTTGCTCTGCCCTCCACCCCTTTCCTTCTCAGTTCCCACAGGCAGGGACCTGCCCACAGGCCCAACCTCAGCCTGGGTGTTGGGAGCCTGTCAGGAATGTCAACAGAAAACTCACAAAGCTGGGGAGGTTGCTGGTTTCGTAAAGACCATGCTGCTCCCCCAGCAGAGCTGTCTCATTTAATAGTTCTGGGGCAGGCACTGACTGGGCTGGGAGGTTGGGTCAAGGTACAGGAGCAGGCAAGACTTCCTCATGCAGACAGCACTGAACAGTCCACTGGAAAGGACAGAACAGTGCTAAGAATTGCTGGAGAATCACAACATGAATTAGGGAATTACCCAGGGCTACTGTGACCACTCAGTCACAAGGAGAGAATATATACAGACTTGATAAAATGAGTCTCATCACACTGCCTCTGGTTTCGGGTTTTATTTTAGAATTTATAAAATTCCAGTGTCATCCATATTCATGAGCCTTTACACATGTTTGCATATAATCTCCAAATTCCAAAGTTAAGGCCAAGGGATGGATGTAGCTATGGAAACATAGGACATGGAAGACATTCAACAAGGAGGAAAGGACACTCCCCACCCCTGCCTAGGCCCCTCAACAGCTTGGAGGCTGCAGGGAGGTGACCTGGGCACAGTCAATTTCATAGTCCTCATTAACAATCAGAGAAAAGGAGCGAGACCCTGAACAGTGTAGGGTAGGGCTTACATCTACAGCACTTAGCAATAAATGGAGAAGTGCAAAATCCCGGTGATCATTTCCACTTTACCTTCTGGGGAAGGAAGAGACTGGGTGTTGTAGGATGACAATGAAGATGACGAGGGGCTGGAAGGGCAGGAGGGAAGCAAGGTGTCCCCAGTGTCATGCAGATGGGAGAAAAGACAGCTCCAGGGAAAGGCAGGGAAGCCCCCCTCCCTGCCTCACCCACCTGGCTCAAGCGGCCAGCCTACTGTGCAAAGGAGATGTTCTTCCCAGCTCAGCATCATTCCTATAATGGGTGCATGGGGCTGCTTCGTCTACAGGGAACCGAAGTTAGACTTGGAAAAGCAACTCTGGATCCACTTAGGAGTTAGTCTACAGGTAGCCAAGCCTGAGTTACTAAATAGAGAGTGACAGACTTGGGGAAGGTGTCACACAGTAGAAGTGACAGTTCCCAGGGAAGGCCATGAGATGGGCACAGGTTGGCTTTTCTAGGAACCCAAGTATCTGGGACAGGACATGTTGCTAGTTGATCAGATGACCTGGAAATAAAAGACCTGTCCTCAGTCTCCACAACACAAGAGGGACACTTCTGCTGGGGACCACTTTTCCTGGTGAGGGCTGGCCTGAAGCCGTGCTAGCTGGGGCCAGTGGTCCAAGCTACCTCTTGCACCTGAGAAAAGGCCTCCCCAGCTAGCAGTGCTCCCTGCGCTGGGTCCTTTGTTTTCATTCTGCCTTTCCTTTTAATCCATGGTGAATGACAACCTCTATCGATGATACCTGCCCTTAAGCCTGTCCCTCAGGACTGCAGAAAGCATCCAGGCATGCCTGCCAGAGCCTACATGGTCAGGCTGGCTGGGAATGAGCACCTGCTCTGGACCAGCCCCTGAATCACGTGGGCTGAGGGAAAGCACAAGCTGTCACCCTCCTCAACTCAATGGCAAGCCCAGAACCACCAGAAATGTCTAAATCAAGAGGAGCCTCGGGGGCGGCACTAACCACATGAGAGTACTACCACACTGGCTGAGGTAGAAAGAAGGCAGCTGAACACGAGGTGTCTGGCCAGGCAGAGGCTAAGGGTTGTACGAAAGCTGAGCTATCAGTTAGGGTCAAGCCCTCTCCCACCACCAAAGAGAAGCCAGTCTCTACCTCCCCTCCCCGCAAAGTCTCAAGCCACCCCAGTCTGCTGTGACAGCCACAGGGAGCCCAGATGGCACACACAGCTGGGCCTCTAGGCTGCAGACACCAGCTCGTGAGGCTGAAGCTGCAGGACAAGCCCCGATGCTTTCAGAACCCTAGTGGGTGCCATCTGAGGACCCAGGTCACCATCTACCTCTCGGCCCACTCTATCACCAGGACATCTGACCTCTTGCTGTCCAAAACCATGCCTTCCTCCTATCCTGTAGCCCGTGCTAAGCAGATTTTGACAGCAAATGGAAGCTGACTGCTTTCCACAAAGAGGAAGGTCTGGGTGACAGGTGGCGGGTAGGAGGGAGGTGGGAAAGGAAGAGGGCAAACGTTTTGGCTTTTATAAAGTCAAGGAAATTTATTTCCTGAGGTCATGACACAGGAAGTCAGCTCCTAGCCGCTGTGGAGCTCTGGTGTGAAGGTCAGAGTGCTGACTACATGCTGGGTGGACCAGGAAGCTGGAGTCTGTGATCACGAAATGCTCGATTACCTTGCTTAGTGTTTCACACAGTGGCGTGCCTGTCCCAGAGCACAGCATCAGGAGCAGACCCTGAGCCTGCTGGGTGCTGACCAGGCCTGGAGAAGCAGCCACACAAGGCCAGCCCACCAGGCTTTGCTGCGAGACCTCGGGGAGGGGGAAGAGCATCAACAATTTACGAGGGTCCAGCTGCTGGGTCAGATTGAGACAAACCATTGTGTGGTTGGGTTTGGGCAGCAGGCTGGAAAGGTTTCTTTTTGATCATTATCGTTTGGGGCCCCAAGGGAGGGTCTTGGGAGCCACTTGAGCCCCAAAACTGGGAAATTCTTCAGAGCTGCTCATATCAGGAGCCTGTGGGGAGGGAGGACACAACTTAAGTACTGGGTGGCTCTCACTGACTTACCGAGTTTCCAAAGTATCTCTGCCCACACCCCACTGTCCCACCAGCTTGGCCCATGGGGAACAGGCAGTACAGAAGTGCCATCTGACCTTCTCACTGCTGTTGGAGGTCCAGGGAGCATCTCGCACCACGAAGCCTTTGGATGGTGCCTTGGACTCTTCATGTGCTGGGGGCTTCATGTAAACTTGCAGCGCCTCGCTGTCCACCACATCAGCCAGCTGCACGGCACAGGGGAGGTGGTGCTGCTCAGCCGACAGCCAGCCGAACCTGCTGATGGCCATCCCGGGGCCACCCTCCCGCCCCCTTGCCCCTCCCTGCCTGTGGAACCATCTGAGTTACTTGGTTGTCACCTCGGGATTACAGTCAAGCCTCCAGCTAGTCAAGGGACAGGCTGCTTCAGAGCTCAGCCTGGGCTGGCTTGAGGGCCCCTAAAGACTCTGCTCAGGACTCACATATTCCTCCTCTAGGTTGAGGATGTGGTCGATAGCTTCCTCCACATTCTCCGGGAGTCCTGTCACAGTGACACAATTGGGGTCTGGAGCTCCACTCTGTGGGAAGCGTATGTCCACCTGGAAGAAGCAGGGTCAAAGGGCATTAAAGGAAGGACTCTGGACCAAAGTACCACATCACACTTTTTTTAGTTAGTGAAATATTTCTCTCTGAATTCAGGAAAATCTTAAAGTTTGGTTTTAGGGCTCTTCACTTGAGGAAGTCATCTGCATCATCCTGCCAGGACTACCTGTTTCCTGAAGACAAAGGGTGCTGAGTGTGTGTGTGCATGACAGTCCCATCTTGCAGAAGAAAGGCATGGCCGATAGCCTAATGGCTCTGCTCTTCTAGTGGCCCTTTCTGTGAGCCCTCATTGTCTGTGCTTACCAGTGATGTCAGAGGGCAGCCCCGTGCTACAGCTTGCAGGGAAGGGTTGGTCCTAATACCCCAGAACCAAACACTTCCCCCTGCCAGCTCTATGTGGTCAGTAGCATAGGCAGGCGTCTGCAAGTTTCCAGTGCCCTGGA